ATATATAACTTAATGAAAACAAAACTGAAACTAGTATCTTTGGACCCAGTGGTAATCGCAGTGCTTCTCCTAAGGATCTGGGTGCTTTGGAACCATCTGCTAAATCACATGTCAAAAACTTGGGTGTGATCTTTGACTCAAACTTCGACTTTGAGAAACAGATTAATTATGTAGTAAAAAGATCATTTTTTAAACTGAGACTTTTATCTAAAATCAAATCGTTTTTATCTTTCAAAGACCTTGAATGTGTGATCCATGCTTTTATTACATCTCAGCTGGACTACTGCAACTCTCTGCATGTTGGTGTTAGCCAGGCTGGCCTCTCACGCCTGCAGCTGGTTCAGAACGCTGCAGCACGCCTTTTAACACAGACCGAGAAGCGTGATCATATATCCCCGGTGCTGGCTTCCCTTCATTGGCTCCCTGTGTGTTTTAGAATTGATTTTAAACTTTTACTGATGACCTATAAGGCTCTGAATTGACTGGCTCCTGAATACCTGTCTGAACTCTTGCAGCCCTATGTGCCGTCCAGATCTCTTAGATCCAGTGATCATTTGCTCTTGGCTGTCCCATGGTCCAGACTGGTCCACAGAGGTGACCGAGTCTTTTCAGTTGTGGCTCCTAAACTGTGGAACCAGCTGCCTCTTCACATCAGACAGGCCTCAACTCTTGGAGTTTTTAAATCTCTTCTTAAAACACCCCTGTTTTCAAAAGCTTTTAATGTACAGTAGTTTGAGAGTGGTTTCCCTATTTTTGGTCTGTTTTTATGGTTTTTTTTCATTTGTGTTCTTTTAGCAATGCTTTGTTTTTAGTTTGCAATATGTGAAGCACTTTGGCCAACAGCAGTTGTTTTTAAAAGTGCTTTATAAATAAAGTTAACTTGACTTGAAATAATGGCTGCAAAATTACATGTAACCAGCATCTAAAACAAATTATGACATTACTGAGTAAGTAGATTGTTGTTAATGTGCCTGACAGCCTTTCAGGTGTTTGCAGGAAAGTGGGCAGTTTATGTTTTTTTTAAATCTTTTGATAAATAATGGCAAATATAGAGACATCTCTGAAAAGCTTTGGAGCATTCATTTAAAAATGTTAAAATCAGTTACACTGAAATGCAATGAGGTACAGAGGTGGTTAGCCAAGCAGGCTCACTGAGTCGAGTCAGCAACAGGAAAATGAATAATGAATCAAACAGAAATGAATTTAATAAAACATTTTTTATTTTTTTTTGCGACAAGACTTATTTCTCTCCAGAGAAGTTATTGCACAGTTCTTTGATAAAATCTAACATTGGAAACTGAAACAAATTTTTCAAATTTTCTTCTGTAGTCTTATTTTAAATAGGCCAGACAGGGAACTGATATTAGAATCTAAATGAGTTTAAGTGTGCCAGTTTTACTTATTATTTTTCTATTTTTAACCCACAGTAAGGCTTATGTTTGTTGTAAGCTTACTGAAAACTGTATCTTTCATGTTTGATCATTTTAGACAATACAGCTGGCATCGTGGCACGCCGGAGTACTTTCACTCGCAAGGATCAGACCCGGTACCTTCTACCTGTGGTGGTGGCAGACAGCGGCTCTCCRGCTCTGTCCAGTACGACCACTTTGGCCATCGGCGTGTGCAGCTGTCAGCCTGCTGGCCACTGTCCCACAGGAGGGGTGGAGGCCCTTGCTCTGACTATGAGTGTTGGCATGCAGACCTTGTTAGGAGTTCTAGTCTGTCTGGCTACACTTACAGGTAAGTGTTGAAAATGTTTCTGTGATTGTATGACAATAAAAAAAACAGTAAGGAGGAGAACAATAATATATAAATGTAGGCATTCTTGTCCTTATCTGGTTTTAAGGCGTCACTAAATCTGGCTGAATCTTCTTGTTGCTGAGAATTTCAAATACAAAAAACACACAAAAGTAATGACATTTGTTGTTATTCTAATGCTTCTTGACATTCTACACAAAAAAAGCAAGGGTGGTATTTTAGAACATGTGGGACCTCTTTTACAAGAAATAACATTTGGGATTCCTAAAATACCATCAAAACATAAGGCTAAAACACTTAAACTTGTACAGTATATTCTCTTTTTCATCCAAATATCTGCAGTTCCCCAAAATAATTAGGGTTTGACACTTGAGCTATAGTTGAAAAAGATAAACTGTAATAATATATTAAA